CGACTACCGCATTGATAGCAGACATGACAGGGTCCTCTCTCCATCCGCTGTCATCATCAGCAGTCTGTTCTTTGTGCTCGTTTGCCAGTTTTCCAGTTTGCCTCGTTTACAGCCTTTTACCTGAAACTATTACCTACTTGCCAGCAAACGGCCGCCCCCACCTCCGTCTATCTTGAATTACTGCCTTTAGGTTGTGCTGCTGCTGATGCCACAGACTGCAATCAACTGTCGACTCGTTGCAACTTTTTGCTGGCAAATCTCTAAAGCTATAATATTTCCTTGAGCATCTGCTAGCTAGTTGCTTACCTTACTTGATTACAAATTTATGCACAATTCATTCATAATTTTATAACAGTTCGCCAGCTTCTGCAACGAGAGCACTACAAAACTTTTTACTTAAATTGCTTTAATACGGTTCCCTCACAGCAAATAAAATAGTTTTGCACTTTAGCGAGCAGCTCGGAAAATCCACGCCACAGGTGTTCACAAAGGCATGAGAGTCCACAAAAAATATGTACAACAAATGCAATTCGTCAAAGCTAATGGCGCACGGTCACTATTTTCGCAGTTAGGAAAACTGTCACTGTCTATGCTGCATGCATGAATAACTTATTAAATGCTTCCAGTATTCCCATTTTGCAAACCAAATGGATATTGGAGGAAAAAATAGAACGCGATAGCAAACGTTTCTATGAAAAAACGTTTACTGCTAACGATTCGTTTTCAAATCGACTTACCCACTACTAATTGCTCGGCTTTTCAACTGTCAACCCTTTTATTATTTTAGTTGTTTTTTTTTTTTTTTTGTTTTTGCTTGTAGCTTGGGGCATTTGTACATTTTTTCATTTCTCATATTTAAAAATCATAATTTAAAACTTTAAAGCCCCAGTCGGTTACGGAATTTCAGACATTTTATGCATACTTTACATATTTTTCAAACTAAAGTATTTAGATAAAAAAAAAAAAAATTGACAGTACATGCTGGCCATATTTAATTAGTTTTCACACTAATTATAATAGGGTCTCATAATTAAGCAGTTTTCTAAAGAGTTGCTTACTCTTTAATAAATAAACGACAGAGGAAAGTTGTCTGAAGAATTTAAATATTATATAATCTATAAACAGCTCTAAAACTATCATGCACAAGCATTCTTGATTGTTTTTGTTGTCTTTGTTGACTCTCATGAACTGGTTTTTGGTTCTTAATTGGTGATACTACTTGTACCAGTATTTTGATGTTTCGGGTCAAGGCGAATATTAGAGAGATATTTGACTCATAAAATCAAATCAATTCTAACAACTTTCAGCAAAAATTGATAATTTGCGGTTTCAACAAAAAATTGATTCTATTAATTCAAAGGAAACTGAAAAGTATGCCTTGCCTTGCTCGTTCTTAAAGTTTCTGGGCCCATATGACGGTCACAAAAAATATGATTAATTTCCACTAAAAATGTTGGCTAAAATATGCGCCTAAGTGGTAAAGAAAAATGGGGCGGAGCACATAATATGTAACGCATGATGAAATATGCGCCATTTTTCTGACGTCGCATGCTAAGAAGATGCCACAAAAAAGCAGAGAAGCGCACAAAAAGCATTGACATGAGGAAATAGTAGTAGCTGAAGTGGTTGCCAGGTCGCCGTGCGGTGGTTGTTTGGGTGGCACGCACACCACATACTAGTATGCGAGTATACTACAAGTATATGTATAAAGCACTACTTGTGTTTAGACCACAATATTAATGCATTAAACATACGAGTAGACAAAGTTGTGGCAACTGAAGCAGCAGAGACTCAAGGAGGCAGGCAGAGAAAATGAAATGAAAAAAGAAAATCAACCACATGTCAATGTCGAGGGCGATGACAAAGATAAATTTACCTACATACAAGTAGTAGTGATATGCTTGGCAGCGGTGTGTGGAGAGACAAGTCCTCTTACAAGAGTGTGCCCAGGGCAAGTTGTATTAAAATTTAAATTAGGAAACAGTCTTTGGGTTGTGAGTTTTCCATTTTGCAAGCTTCTATTTCTTTTTTAATCGAAAATTCCCATCGTAGTGCAGAGAATTTAACGCACCGTTACACACACGCACAAAATGACGCAAAATTCCATTTAAGCAATCAACTAAATTCGTAGCAAATTGTCCGCAGATGCAGAAACACAGACAGGCCTAGGCTTGGCCCGGCCCGGTCCGACCCGGCCCTGGATCATGACCATGGCCGAAACCGAGGCCGAGGCCGAGTCCAAGTAAACGCCTCATTATTTTGCGCTTGAGAAATTTCTGGCTCGTCACTAATTCATCATTGTTTCGGCACATTAAATCCTAGAACGTCAACGCATTCATTATCTCATATGGTTTGCCTAGCATGGGAAATGTTTCAGCCGACTCATCGCACACACACACACACACACCCACCAGTTTGGACAGCTAGCTGACAGTTGCTACTACATACATGTCATCGTCATCGTCGACATCGTCGTCGTCGTCGTTCTCTGCATGCTTGAGTGATATTAACTGACCGACAATAAGTCAGAAGCAGCAGCCAGGCAGACAGGCACAAAAAAAGGAACGGAAAACGAAATAAAATGGCCAAGACTGGCTGAAATGTATGAATACTATATGTATAGTATAACATGGCCTGTAGGCCAAACACGTCTGATGGTCGAAGTTAAACGAGATTTTGCCACAACTTGTAGCTATTTTAGCATACTTTGCGGTCTGACCATAAATGCGCTCGTCATTTAAGCAAAATCCTTTTTAATTTCTTTCGGCTCGAACGTTGTGGCCAGAATGCGGGTGTTAACAGTATGTGTTTGTATGAGTGTGTGCCCAGCATGTTAATTGCATGTCCAGCTAATCGAATTTTTTGCACGTCATAATGAATGCCTAAAGTTTAATTTTAAATATTTCCGGTTACACTCGCCTTCGTAGGCCATTAACGGCCGCTCAACGGTATTTCTTAAAAGTATATATAACTAATGTAACTTCTTTTTAATGTGTCTGTGGTTATTGCCTGTGGTTTACCCAAACAATATCAAACGCTATGCAATTAATTAAATTATTGCAATATTTTTAGAGGCAAACAGGCCTACCCTTCATAATTAGCAAAAATCTATTTAAAATTAAAAATTAATTAAACCTATTGTGGGCTTCTGCTGTTTACAAAAGCAACCAATCCTGCCGTTAAATAAAACAATATTAACACACTAATACCCAGGCCTTAACTAATATTACAAGCGCGAGTGCAACATAATCGCTTATGTCATCGCGGATTTATATTGCGTGGAAGTTAAAAAAAAAACAGTCCGCACATGCGGTCGCTGAGTAGAAAAAAGTAGTATTACAACGCTAATTTATGTAGCACATAAGTTCATTTTTGCTTGTTGTTGTTGCTGCTTTTGTAATTAGTCGTCGTTCAAGCCGTTGTCCAGGGCCATTAAAGCGATCCGGCAATGAATCCCGTGCCCATCCACATAAACAAACGTAAAACTGTTGCTTCCGTTTCCGGGCCCCAACGACACAGCGAGAATGAGAGGGAACAGAGACGCAGATAGCGATAGAGATAGAGTGTGCGCTAATTATTTTGCCGGTCAGCAAAAGTTCATAGTTCACATATAAAATACACACACATACATACAGCTGGCACAACCAGAAAAAGCTTCGCACAGCCACCACATGCCCTTGGCCGCGCGCATTTGTGGAATTTTTATTATCAGGCCAAGTAAAATAAAGTTAATTAATACCCGGATTCTGGCACTAGCACTGGATCTGGGGCTGGGTCTGGCCCCGATGCTGCCGGCAACGGCAACGACAACGGCAATGGAAACGGCTCGCCTGGTATTTGATTCATGGCGCGCATTTGTGCTGAACAAAGAGCGGCAGACGTGGGCGGGCGTGCGGTAAATGCAATGTTCATAATAATAAATGGATCGGGGTAAAATGTTAAAGAAGAGGCACACGATTTATAGGAACAACAGACAAGACTTTATTGATCTGAGAAAGCTCTAGGGCTCTTACAACTCTATGCCATCAAACAAGTTCTGGAAAGATAAAAACGTTTCAAAAAACTGCTAAACGAAACTATGTAGGAGGGTGGAAAACCCGTGTAATAAAAGAATTGTAATCCTTACTAGCACTCTATCCCAAAGAGTCTTCTTCATTTAATATCAAGTTGAGTTCTGCAGCTGGTCGTCGGTCAAAAAGTAAATAATTGTTTCATTTTGCTAATGTTGTTTAGTTTTTATATTAATTCCAAGCTCAAACATCGTATAAAATAAACTCATCTTTCGACTTAATGTTAACTTCTTCACGTCTGAATAATTTGAAGTTCAGTTTCCATTTCAAACTCATATATAAGCACTTAACTAGTACAAATTATTTTGCTAAGGGACTATTTATTGATGGCGCTTTCTCTATTTTTCACTTGGCTAATGAGGCGTATTTTTTGTTTTTCTAAATTCTCATTTTTCTGTTACAACGGCTATTTTAATATATTGTTTTAAATTTTTTTTTTTTAATTCCTAAACCAATGGCCTGCATTTCTCATTAATAGCAATTTTAATACTCTACGACCGCAATTATAAAATATGTCTCCAATAAGCATTAAGGCTGACATTCAGGCTCGTACTGAAATGGGCGGATAATTATTAATTGATTGCATTTGTGTTTTTGCTCATTTATTGTGCAACATAAAAGCTTTCTCATCGAAGCTTCAGCTTCTAACGAAACAGTCGTCGAACTTTAACAAAAAAAAAAAAAAAAAAAAAAAAAAAAAAAAAAAAAAAAACAACGATTAATAGTTGGAAACCATTTTAATAATAAAGAAAGCAAATAGCAGTAAGTGGGGAGCATTTGTTTCCATCAGTGTACATATACAATGGAACGCATATGATACTTTATCGTAAAAAAAACAAAGAAACGATTGCATATAGCATGGATGTTAAATCTGCCATCAACAGCTTATTGTTCAATCAATTTAATTCTTACTTTTTCCGCCCTTTACAGCCGCACCATCCATTGAAGCCCTGCACCTCTCCAGCCTCTCCGTCCCGCGCATTATCGATGTCGCACAAAAGGCAAAACTTTTCTGCAGCTATGAAATGGGCAATCGCACATTGAACTCAGTTAAATGGTACAAGGACGGGCAGGAGTTTTTCAGGTGAGTGAGCAACAACAACAACAGCAGCAACAATTGCAAGTTGCAACTGTTGCGGCCATAAAACAAATAAAAATTGCCATAAAAATATTTTGGCACTGCGATGAAATAATGAACATGTGGCGGCCGTTGAAAGTGCGCCCGCACTCATGCAGATTTTATGGCACAAATTGAAAACGTCATAAAATGCAACAAAGTGAAATGGCGGCGAGTTGTGTGAGTGTGCCACAGCCGTGCCACTGTTCGTTAAAAGTGTCGCAACTAATTTAAATGCTTAATTGAAATGGATTTTTATGGGCACCAACAACGACGGCACAAACTACAGGTACCCGCCGAATGTCCGCTTCCGACTCTCAACTCAAATATGTGCAAACTGTTGTTCTTTTTATTTAACTGGCTTTAATTGTTGCCACACGATGTGGGACGTTCCGAGTATGCCAACAGTTGCGTGCGGCAGCAACCAGTCGACTTAATAGAGCGCGAAATTTGAGCTTATTTTTTTAGGGTTTTGTGTTTGGTTATTGATTTTAAGGCCTTTCAGCAAATACCCAGACCCCACGCTGAGCAACAAAAACTGCACATTGTATTATTTACGTTGCATGCCACAAACCTAAAAAGGTTTATATGTCCAGCCAAATAACTCTGACCAAATTGCCCAAAGCCTCATGTAAAACCAAAGCCACGCGAGCATTCCAGCTGATCGCAGGCGTGTTGGCTCCTTAGATCTCATCTAGTATGGGAAGGTGAGTGTTCAGACGCTGATTTACTAATATAGGCTCATTCGTTTATTGGATAGATTCAATTACTGACTGATTGATCGATTGCCGCACATCAATAATTACTTAAGTGAATCATTTATTTAATCAATTGATGGATTTTTACATGTTTTGATTGATTTACTGCTAGATTTCTTTTATTGAATTATTCAATGAATTTTTTATGCATTAAATGACTGCATATTTAAATATATTTTTGTCCGGGTGATTATCTTACATAGGTCGAGTTATTTGATGAACTTATTGATTACCGATTGATTTCTTTGCCAATTTATTTAAATACTTGTATTAACTGATTGTTAACCCACAATTGAGCAATTTGCAAATTTATTTATTGTTTTATTATTATTAATTTTTTTTTTAATTATTTGTAGTAATATTTCATCAAATTTCGTTCGCTTAATGCGCTTAATGAATGAATTTAAAACATGGGATCTAAGCCTAGGTAAAACCGTTTTAAAAAAAATAAAAAATATTATTATTAGACGTTGAATAATCAGTTGATATAGATGCCCGTAGAATAGTCAGCTAGATTTTGACAAAGGCACTTCAGATTTAGAAGGTACAGACATTATGTTTTTTCAGCATCGAAACGGCCACACAGAAAACGTTTCAAAAATATTTATTTAGCAGAAATGAGAATAAATAATTTGTATATTTAATGATCATCCTTGAAATCTACCAATAACTAACTTTTATATATTTCACTTTGCTAGAGATATATTATTAAATGATAGAAAGTTATTATAGTTGCATTAGAATTCAAAAATCACAACCAACTAACAGGAACAGCTAAGTCTTAAGAAATCATACCAATTCCTTTATTTACAGTGCATTTAATCATGTATTTGAGGTTTTTTTGCGCTGTTTACATCATAGTTATGAATTAATTTAGTGAATAGACAAAAGAAATGAAAAGTTGTCATAAAAGGGAAAGCCAAATTTTTGGACCTTACTACATAAATATTGACAAGTTTATTAGAAAAAGAAAACGAAATAGAATAGCTGCAAATTTCCTCAAATACAATGAAAAATGTTTAGATTTAGTTTCATGTGGTATGGCTAAGATGTTTATGTTTCGATCCCCAACCAGCATTTGTGAGAAGCTGCACAGCTCTGTAGGTATATTGATTTGGGTGACACATTTGACTTCCAATTCAGGCCGCACTTCAAGTAGGTCAGTTCGAAACGTATTAGCAGCGAAAACTCGTTCGCATACATTGCAACCATTGCTGTTGCCTAACAGGCAATAAACTGGCATTGTGGCATGTCAAAAATCGCGCATAACAATACATATAGTATAGTAAGAAGTCGACGCTAATTGTAATCAAATGCGTGAACTCACTGCCATCCACCGATTCGATGCACGAATATTTTCCATGTCCGCATGTGAATTTGCATTTCCATTGGAATTTTATTGTATTTCGGAGTGCGCCTCGTTGGCTCGCTCTCCGACAGCCCCAATATAAGCACACAAAATGCAAAATTCAGCCGCAGCTTAAAAGCATTCCGCACAAACCTGCATACTCGTAATATTCATAATGGGGAGGGTATGGCGCACAAATCGATTGCATTTTATTTGCACGCCATTTGCGCAAACGTAGCGCAAATGCAGCCGAAAACCTTTTTGCATGCTCATCAATATTTCATGCCGTTCGCAGGGGGCCGTGGAAAGCCGTGGAAAGCGCACCGCATTCCTCGTTGTCTTTTATTTTCCCCCATTCGAAGGCAACAGCACTCGAGCTCAAGATGCTCTCAGCTCTTGTTCCGCTCCGCTCCGCTCCGCTCCGCTCTGCTCTGCTCTGCTCTTCTCAGCTCAGCTCAGCTTCTCTCCACGTCTACTTATGCGCTTTATTTTCGTTGCAGATACTCGCCGCTTACGCCGCCAACAACAAATTGGTTTCCCGTCAAAGGTGTCACCATTGACGACGGCTCGTCGCATTGCAATCAATTCATCTGCAACGTGGAACTCGAAAAGCTGAATGTGCACTCGTCCGGCCAATATCGTTGCGAGGTTTCGGGCGACGCGCCGGAATTCAAGCTGATCGATAAGGCCGCCAATATGACAGTGGGCGGTATGTACTACACTACTATATATCTCAAGCATTTGCACCACAGTCGAGTATTATTTAATGAGTTTCATGTTGTCGAAAGAAGCAGAAGAAGAAATTTTCAGCCACGTACATAACTTAAAAATTGAACCAAACAAGTAAAGGCCTTTGCAGACGACTCATGAAATAATAAGGGAAATATTTCAATATATACACGTATACACGCATAAGTAAACAAAATGCAATTCGTGAATATATTCTGTAGTGAAATAAGTTTCTTTTTTAAATATACAGAGTACAAACATTTAACTCTTGAATATATTCAGTAGTGACATAGCAGTAGCAATACTTGCTTCAGGAACACTTTTCATTTTTAATAAAATCACTCTAAAATCCAGACATCTGATGTAAATGCATCTGATGCTTGGACAAAGTCGTTTGCTCTTCACATATTTCCATTAATATTAATATTTGCTTATAATTTGTACTGAATAATTAAGTGTAAACATCTGAGGTGTTTACATCTAAAATCTAGACATCTGATGTAAATGCATCTGACAAGTAAACAAGTAAAGGCCTTTGCAGATGACTCATGAAATAATAATGAAAATATATATATATACACGTATACTCACGTATACTCACTTAAGTAAGAACAATATTTAACTCTTGAATATATTCAGTTGTGACATAGCAGTAGCAATACTTGCTTCAGGCACACTTTTCATTTTTAATAAAATCACTCTAAAATCCAGACATCTGATGTAAATGCATCTGATGCTTGGACAAAGTCCTCTTCACATATTTCCATTAATATTAATACTTGCTTATAATTTGTACTGAATAATTATCTACAAAGTGAAAGTGAGTTTAATAAGAAGAATAATTAATAATTATCTATAAAGTGAATGTGAGCTTAATATTAATAATTATAGTATCCTGTAGAGTTTAGTATTCAAACTACTTGTGAAGAGTAAAGACCAAGAAGTGGCTCTTAAAGTTGTGACATTTATATAGTACATAATATTATATAAGTTTAGTATTAACTTGGATTGAAGTTTCCATATCCTATAGTATGGTATACAGTTATACCATTTACACCTGAAGAATCGAACACTTTAGAGTCTGACCGATTTGGAGTTTACACTTTGTTTAGACTCTACTGCTTAGTGGTTTGTTTAGTCGGTTGTTCATACTGTTACAAAAGCTAGGTACAAACATATTTCCAGTTGGAAATTCAGCTCAATCCTAGTTGTAGCCATAAATGATTTATGAATGAGACAACAATAGAAAGAACAACAAATTATGTGCAATTTCGGCAACACTTAATAAAATTATAAATGAGTTCTGCAGAGGCCAGCGCCCGCAGCGCAGCGCAGCGCCCTCCGTTCCAGCTCCAGTTTCGATTGCTCCTTCTCCTCCTAAATCCTTTGGCAAGCATTTCATTTATCACTGCCACGCAGCTCACACACAAACAACAGATGAACAGAGAAGAGGAGCCGCAGTTCAAAGGGCGCCGAATAAATGCTGCAAAATTGTGACACGCGTCAGCCATTTGTATGAGTAATGATTGTTAATAAATCGTCGACCCCTAGCGCTGAGGACCCCGCGGGCCACACCTGCTGCCGCTCCGCCTATCGACATCGACATCGGAATCGGCATCGACATAGACATAGACATAGACTATGAGCCTAGCAACTGCGAGCCTCCGAACAAATTCAACTCAATTGTGAGTTTTGTACGAATCAATTTATAATCTCGATTGGTTTCTGGTTGCCTGGCAGCCGCCTCGACGGTTCGTTGTCACGTGCAAAGCACACGCAAACGGAAAACGCACACGCGCCGCTTTTGGCGTTGAAAGGGGGAGTGGCAGAGGAGACAGCAACGGAGACAGCAACGGAGGCGGTCTGGTCTGGAGCGAAACGACAACTCGTTTGTGGCACTTGTAGCTTGGTTTGTTAACGTCAACGCCGTTGGGCTCCCGCTACAGCGCTCCTACAAATGGTAGTTGCCATCATTTTGGCTCGGTTCAGGGATCTGGTCGGATTCGCTACGGCTCGGTTTTGTTTGATTGGCAGCGTACATGGCGCGCGGACTGGCGGCTGGTGGCTGGCGGATTGCGGATTGTGGGTTACGGACTGCGGTTCGCTTGATTGTGGCGCCCATTGATGATTTAACGCATTGCGCTGCTTTGAAATTCAAATCAATTGATTTTGCTCTCCACCTCACTCACCACCCCCTTTTTCTGTCGACCTTCCTGCCAGCCTGCCATCCTGCCAGCCTGCCTGTAATGTCATCTCTTACACAAATGGCTCCCTTATGCTTGTGTCCTTTGCCTCTGCATGGCGTCGAGTTGCGGCTCAAAATGATTTATTTGTCGCAATTTTCCCGCTCAGCGATTTGTTTTACTTTAGTCGCAGCCGCAGCCCCAGTCGCAGTCTCAGTCGCAGTCTCAGTCGCAGTCTCAGTCGCAGTCAGAGTAGCAATCGCTTACTCTTTCATTATGCCGTCATTTGTGGCACAAAACTCCAACTTTGTGCTTGTCTTCCCCACCCCACCCCACCGCATCCCATCCCATACCCTTCCCTCTCCTCAACCCACTATGACGCATTTTATTTATTGACGTTCCTTTAAGAGTATTGATTTGCATAATGCGTACTTAAGCATTTGTTTACGCGGAACAATCAAATTTGAATTCTCGTCCTCACTCACTCGCATTTGTATTGCGCCTTTAATTGGATGTTTGTTTTGGGGCTTTATTGGAGTGTGCCTGCTTGTGTGTGTGTGTGTGTGTGTTGCCTTTCCTTGTGATTTGTTTATGCCATTTGCATGTCATTTTGACTTTTATCTATTGAAATTCTATTGATGGCATCGAGGTAGCTAAACCGCTTTTAAGTTGTTGTTGTTCTTGCTGTACCAGCCACGAGGATTTTTATATAATTAGAAAGGTATTTGGAGAGGGTTTCATCGTCCCCCCTGGAGACCAATCGAACAGATTATATATTTAATTATAACTGTTGATATACACTGTACACTGTATTCTTCCGCAACTTCTTAAACAAAACTAATAATTTCAACAAATCTGAACCAACACAAGTTGTTAAAGGAATAAACTTTTATGGGTTGCTTTCAAATAGAAGTTGACTTTATATTGTTGTGAATGGCAATAATGCTATATAAAAAAAACTATAAGTCGTCACAACCAGAAGACGTCGCAATCGCAAGCAGGGGACGCATTTATGAACTCATAACATAGCCCGCCCGACTGGGTTTTTCTTTTCTACAGAAGTCAAGCGGACACATATGGTCAGCTTTATATTGTCATTTTAATTTTTATACACTATCTGGCATAAAAAGCGCAATATATGAACTCACACACAGACATGCAGAGAATGAGCAGTGAAGTAAAAAATAAAATAAATATTTGGCAGAAAAGGAGAACGCAACTAAAGCATGTCAACTACATGGCCGGGCTATATAAAAGCCAACCAGCCACGGCAATGGCATCAAACTTCATCAACGAGCTGGCACCAAACTTTAAAGTTGGCTTCCGCTGCATCCCCTCCTCTCCACTGCACTCACCCCCCCCCCCCCCCCACCCATCAGCTGACATAAAACAATGTGGCAATATCCGCAGCTGCACGTTGCAAGAGCTCATGCTGCTTAACGCTTCTCTGCAGCATGGCTGAGCTCGAGGGGTGTGCAGATTGGTGGTGCGAGGCGCTGTGCAGTGGTGTACAGAGTGGTGTTGTCTTGTGGTGTCCTCCCTGCCTGTTTTTTGTTTCAAACGCAGAGACGCTTGCTCGGAACGCTGGCTGGTGTTGTGTTTTCTGCTGCTTCTGCTTCTGCTACTGCTGTTGACAGACCAACAATCAACTTGGGAATTTTGTCACTGAAGTGCCATCGCATCCACCTAAAAACTTTGTCACAACAAAAACATTAAAACAACAACAGCAGCAGCAGGAGCAGCAGGACAAGCAGGAGAAGCAGAAGCAGGAGCATCAAGGGCTCGATTTTCAAACGGCAATCACCTTTTGTGCTCTTTGATGACAACGGAAAGTTGGCTGTGCAAATATTTTGACGCTTAGTTGCGTGCATGTTGCCACACACTGATTAACTTTAAGTTTACACACAACAGTGCACACATACACCCATACACACCCATACACAGATGCACACACACACCTAATTACTTAAGAGATTTCCCACATTTAATGGCCCAGCCAAGTTATTTCTCCCCATCCCCATCCCATTGTGCAGTCAATTTCGCTGCTTGTCAACTTTTGACTTTTTAATACGAAATACTACGCAACCGACAAGGGTTATCATTTGTGGCGGAACAACCATCCAAGGTCCATAGTTCCACAGTTCCACCTGCTCGGCTTGCTGTGGGCGTATGTGTGTGTGTGCCTCGTTTAGCATTCAAGCTGGCTCACCGCCCCGACCCGAAGCACAGCCACATTGGTCCGGCAGCCAATGCTTGTTTTTCATTTTGTGTATTCTGGTGTTTGGTTTTTGTTTTGTGTTTTACTGGTACTTTGGTATTTTTGGTTTATTTACTCAAGTTGATTGCTTTGTTTTCGTAAATTTTCGTTTTCGTATGCTGCTCTGCTGCCGCTGCTGCTGCTGCTGCTGTTACTACAAGTCGCTGGCGCAGGCCCCAGTCTGCAATGTCTCCGAGCGGCAGAACATGGCCACAATCATCAACTTCAGTGCGAGTGGAGTAGTGGGGAGCAGGAACAACGTTTGGTCCGACGCTGTAAGTTGTACTTGAAACAGGTCAAAAACTTTCCACCAAAGTGGTTTGTATTAAGTCAATTAAAAAGTTTATAGTCCTGCTGACTGCCTGACTTTTGATGCCTGCCAACACGCCTCAGCTCCAGCTCCAGTTCCAACAACATTAACAACAACAGCAGCAGCAGCAGTAACATCAGCAGCAGCAGCAGTTTCGAACAGCCCCCGCAGCCATTGCCTCAACATATTTCACAAATTTTCACCAACGGCAGGGCAGTCGGCAGTTCACAGTTGGCATTTGAGCTTCCTCAGCTTTGCTGTTGCTCGTACCCTCTGTTTGCCAATGTTTTGTGGTTTCCACTGCCTCATTGTGTATGCGTTGGTAGGTGTAGGTGTGTGTGTGTGTGTGCGTCGTCTTCAATCGTTGTAATCAAGCAAATTACGCTTGTTTTCATCAAAAAACTTTGTCCTGCGCAATTATTTATTAAGATTAATTAACACTTTAAATAAATAAATATTTGGTGTCGGCAACTTGTTCGTTGGCTAAATGCTACAAACAAGAAAGTGCGTGGCTTGCGTGAAGAGTTGGCTCCCATAAGTAGGCAACGAATATTTCTGCAGAAGCTTCTCCTACCTTTTCGCTATCGCAAATCTATATAAATGCTGTGACACGGATCGGGCGAAGTACTATAATTTGCAGTCGAAACAAAGTAAATGACAGAGTGGCGAGAATTAGGCAACGCAAATGCAATTGCTATTCACATTAACAATAGAGGCAAAAGTCCTATAAACGTTCTGGGCCAATCGTTCAGAAAATTTCCACTTAACTATCTGATACTTTGTGTTCGATTTATGCAGCTTTAAGGCATTATTTTTGTTTTATATATAAAGTTGCAAAGTTACAAAATGGTAACTCATTTTTAGGCAGTAACATAAAAAATATAATAAGAAATATTTCATAAAACCAATACAAGTATATGCAAAAATATGCACAATATATAAAAGGGACCCAAACGATACCAAACATATACATACTACCAAATAGAGAAGCAATCAGTGTATAAATTGAACTAAGCTTGTGTATTAATTGCACGCGTATTTATTAATGTTTAATGCATAAAAACTCTTCTGCTTTGGCAGTGCTGCCCAAATTCGACCCATTCATTAGTGGCATGCGACACGCGTACAAATATCGAGACACACTGTTGGTCAACTGCAGCTCGGAGTGGTCCAGTCCCGCGGCGAAGCTAACATGGTATATCAACAATAAAACGGTAAGTGCACATTACACATACGCCTCGTTGTGCGGTAGTATGTATGACAGTAATGGCTGAATTTTAAAAGGCACATTTACAGCCGTCAGCAATTATACACATAGTATACAATATGCGGGCATGTATCCCCACTGACCTCTTTTCATATTTGAACCGAGTGCATTCGGCAAAGCCGCAGGCAGACACACGTCAACCGTCACACGACCAGAGGGCTCCACAAATGGACTGATAGACAGACCGACAGACTGTCAGACTGTCAGACAGAATCGGGCAGCTAGGTAGTCAGTTTGTCACGGTCGCGTTGACGCGCCTAAGTCAATGTGCCCGTAACCCAAATGTTGACACTAAATGTTTCCCAGCATTCAGAGTGTCAGTGTCCAGTTGGGTTTCATTTGTATCTGTGTGTGTATGGTGCCCGGCGGCGCTGGTCAGCAGGCACGCATATCTGTGGTTTCCGCTTTAAGCTTTGCTTAACACTTTTCTTCTCGCTTTTCATGTATGCCCACCAACAACACCTAGGCGCCGCAGCACAGCCTGCAACCGCAAATCAACGAAATCACACGCAACACCGAGGGCTTTCCGCTGTACGCCAGCAGCTTGCAGCTGCGCCTCCACATCGATGACCCGCGCTTCATCAGCAAGAGCGAGATGCTCGAGTTACGCTGCAACGCGGACATCATGGGCCTGGCCAGCGCACAGCGCGAGAGTCGGGTGCGAACCACCATTCTGGCACTCAAGGATGCGGGCCTCAATCAAAGGCTGACGGAGAGTGGCGTCGCTGCCAGTGCGATTGGAGGTAAGGGACTCGATTCCACAGTGGTCCAAAGTGAGAAAAGTGTAGTAAACAGACGAGGTTTGCTTAATTTCGAAAGATTTGCCTTTGCTTCTCTATTTGAATCAAACATTGATTTAATTTAATAAATTGTGATTGACTCAATGGAATTTGTTTTAGGTTTTTTCATTTTAGTTCTCTTCTTCCGTTCTTTAGTTCCTTTCAGAATGCATTTTCTTCATAGTGCTATCAATAATCAACTGCTATAAAAGTATTGGTTCCCCCGAAACGGGAGTACCTTTATGATACTTGTAGAGTAAACCTTCAAGAAGAAAGAAATTCTTAGAAGAAATATTATCTACGATATTCCCCGATATTCTAATCACAAATTTATATACAAGTACAGTTCATTTCAAAACAAACAATTGCTTTTCATTTTAAGGTATCAAAAAATGAATTTAATTAAAAAGCAGACTTCATTTTAGTTGCCAGTTGAATAAAAGTTCCACACGGTTCCTGAGTTGAGTGAAATGCAACATTCTTTATGTCGCAGACTTGAACTTGAAAGCCTTTGAATGACATTCATTTTTTCATTTTCATTTTAAACTCACTTGGATATGCTCCACTCTGTTGCCTTTATTCTGACTTACACTTTAATTATATCTTTGTATTTGCAGGCACATTTGTCGCCTGCTGCTGTGCATTGGCTTCGCTGCTCTGGCAATACTCTCGGAGTTAGCTTCAACCACACGCCATTTGAATTTTTAATTAAGGTTCTTTGTAGTAATAATCGCGACAAATCAGTGAAGATCTTCGCACTAGAATAAGCTAAGCCACAAAGTTAACAGGCCAACAGATGCTAGGGGCATGTCGAAAAAGGAGCAAGGAGTCTGTAAATATGTAGTTAAATAGTCAAAAGCCCGGGGGCGCTGTTCGCGGAAATGCCAGCCAAAAATTCCTATTGAATTAACGCAAGATATATGTGTATAAAGAAGAGTATCGCCTGAATAAAATATGATATGAAAAGAAGGGAATGCATGGGAAATGCATGCATATAGTATGTATATTAAATAAATGAATTTACAAAAGCAGCCGATGAATAGAAGTTAATGGCAGATATACTCGAACATGCAAACAATCAATGGAAAGCAACATAAATTTAATAATTGTATGTGAATTGTTGATGTATTAAATAACATATGAGGAAACCATGAAAATAAATACAAATACAACAGCATTATTACATACCGCATTGACTTATTTACTCGTAAAGCAATCAGCTGACACACAATATACTTGTACTGTAGAGGTAAGGCCACTTCAAATCTGCAGCAACTGACAACTGAAAGAAGAAGAAAGAAATACAATTCAATTAATAATACTAATAATACAAGGTGTTAATTCTGGACTGTAGAGCAGAGCCAAATTAGATTAGATTTTCAACTGTTCAGACACACATATCGATTTTATTAATTATCGAACACAACTTATCTTATTTCTGAAGCCAATTTATAATTTATTTCTTACATTTAACATATACAGTTAGATATTAAGCAGCCACATTTATTTGTCATATTAGGTTTTCTCAGTACTATACGTATTCGCTCCGATTCGGGTGAGGAGACTCAATTGTATAGATATCGCAAGGCACAGGATTATAAAATACTTGTAGTATGCTTTCATTTTATTAAAACATTGCAAAATGATGAAAACATGTAAAGAAATCAATAAATTGTACCACAAAAAAGTTTGGTATTCAACGCAGAAATTATTACCCTATCCTTTCCCTTAAGGAGTTCAGAAAACTAGGATATTTAAGGTGGATTCCGTACATAGTTCAAATCGATAAATCACCTAAAAATAAATAGCCTCATATCATAATGTAGCCCTCCAAAAGCATCAATACATATGTATACACATATACTTGAGCACTCGACGAAAAGTTCAATTGAGTTTTGCAAATGCTCCAAAAGATTTATCCTAAGCTCTGCAAAATTGTCGAGCCTTAGCCTCTCAGCGACCTCAGCGACCTCAGCAACCCAGCTCCATTCATTTCCTAATTTGTTTATTTTTCTTATTGCGAACAGATAAAAGACCAACAAATTATACCCAAAGAAATTCGATTTACCGCCGCTCCGAATTGGGGTCAAAGCAAGTGTTGACAGTTTTTGGTGCCGGAACTTTGAGCTCGATAGCCACCTTTGGAAAATATTCCACGCATTATAACAAATCCGTCTAAAATATGCAACGACCGACGTCCGAAGTAGCCGCAGGTAAATCGCTTTCATTCCCTCTCCACCTCCCTCGACGTTCGGAGAAGTGTTCCCGAAAAAATTATGCATAAAATGGCCCCAAGCACAAAAGGTAAACAAAGATAAATCCTCGAACCAGACTGAGTGCGTGCTGCTGTCAAACGCTGTCCAGGAACCCCTGTCAGTTGGCCGCGGGGCCATTAAGTGACGGAAGTAAATAAGCTTGACAAATTTCCACTCATCATTTTTGCATTAATTCTGGCTCCTTTAACGCGCGTACACACACACACACACACATACTCTGGCACCAACAAAGAGTGTGGCACAGAAAAAATGTCCTTTGATTAATCAAGAAATTTGCCAACGCTAGGCGAACCAAAAAGGCAGGACAAACAAAACAAATTACCAAAAGAGGCGCCACCGGCAATTCTCACTGACTGGCAAGGGCTTCTTCTATGACGGCGGCGACGACTGTGGCCGAGGCGCCGACACAGCCACAACAACAATAACACAAGTAGCGAAGAGGGAGGCAGCGGCGGACTGCGACCACAGCAAGAGATTAAAGCGCCACCGTCAATGACGAGCCCGCCACCGCCTGCGCGTCCGCGTCCACAGCTATTGTTGGCTATGGCTTGCGGCAACTTGTGAGACGCCCCCTTCCCTCTCAGACACACACACACACACTTGGACACACAATTCTCGTATAGGGCTCTCAAAACATTCAAAACTGAGCGCAAAAAAAGATTTCACAGATTTTTGCACGCGATTTGTCAAGCTGACATTTCCGCCGCGTGCCTCCGCCACTGTTCCTCCCCTTTTCCGCCCCCCACGCCCGCTCTCCACCTCCCCCTCCACCACCAGCTCGTTTGGCTTTGTGTTGTGCCGGGAATTAGATTAGAGTTTTTGTTGCGGTTGTCGGCGCCATAGCTGCCTAGCTGCCCCCTAGCACCCCCTCTCCAACAGGATCCGCTCACTACAACCACCTCCCTGCCAATCTTCTAAGCCGCAAACGAACTTCAACAGCCAGCAGAAGTTGATTTAGTAAGTCACGTGGCCGTGTAACTGTAAATTGTATGCTCCTGGCCAGGACTATGCCAGAGGACGCGCATACGGACGCGTGCGAAATAAAGTGGCGCTTTATTTTCGTTACTTTTTTTGGCAGGTATTCTCACCCAATTTTTCGACGCCAAACGCAAATTGTGCCCAAAGCGTTGACACACACATAGTCGTACATACATACATACATATACATATATATATATATAAAAAGAAAACCTGCAGCAGATATGGGGCGGGAGAAACAAGCATTTCTACAGCCCAGCTCTATGCATATGAATTCGTAATTTTGGCTAAGAAAATGTTTCAAATTAAATGAAAACATAGAGAAGATGCTGGTGTGGGCTAAATCGGGTTGGGGGTTACCCAATTTCGTTGTGTAGTTTTAGGCAAATGAAACAAAAGCAAGAGTCCAAGTTAAGTTACACAAATGGGTGAATATAAATATATATATATATAGGCACGACATTTCTGCTTCCAGCCAGAATACACACTTACTATGTAGTATCTCTTGTTTATTCGCGCCAATCACAGGCTTTTCACTCCCATTTGCAGCATGGGGAAGCTTTTGGAGGCAACTGACTGAAAAATCCAGAATATTTTATAGCGAATTTTTATATAATTAAATTTATTTAGTAATTATACAATTCGAACTTTTAACGGCAAGCAGTTCGTAAAACCTATTTAGACACAATTTTATCTAAAGCACACGAGCACTATTCATTCATTCAGGAAAATACAAAACAAGAATAAAACACAGATTTAAAATTATACTTAGCAGATATTTAACAGATAAACCGATATACAAGAAATATGTTAGCACTTGCATATATACTTGTATAATAATCAGGCTATATAGTACATAGTGTGCAAATAACTTGATCCGCCGATTGATAAGTTAAGTCTTAATTTAAAAGTCATCGATGCTCATGCGGATAGGCATGATTATATTAATTCGTCTTTTCCTACTCCTATATAAGTACTAGAGTTGGCGATTTGCCTTTCTGGTATACCCTTTCAGCCTTTGTTTAGTTTAGTTTACAGTTCTTTATCGATTTGAAAAAACTGCACATTTTCCACATAATATATATATTCAAAAACAACATTTTAAAAAGCTATTGGAGAGCTCAATAAAAGTACAGTGAGAATCTCTGTAAAAAGTTGATTGTAAGCAACTTTTTTGCTTACAATTATTTTCACATTCTAACATCCATAACATGCATGTGCTTGTTACAAAATGTACTTTATTTTTGTGACATCAAGGCTTATTTTTTCCATTCGCTGCATAATTTTGTACTTCGTTTTAGCCACATCACGCAGCTCGACATTTTTAACAACTGCCAACAAGCCGTGTACGGGTATATCATCGACATGCCAAGCCCAGCCAACACATTCCGGCGTTGCCCGTTCAATTGGCAACGAATCGCCTAATAGGCAGTGACACTGATTAAAATTAAATATTTGGCCAGCCAATGTCGCGCGACACTGTGTCAACATGCATTCCAGCTGAAAAATAATATTACTATCATGCATATATTTAGTTAAAATAACTAAAATAACCAACTGGTTCATGCACAGGCCACACATACTGTGTGATGTCCTGCCCTCCAATCGAGAATTAAGCTTCGAAATTTGTTTTCATGGCTTCAAAAATATTAAATGACATCGGACACTGATAAATATCTATCGGAATAAACTGCTACGAGGCTGACAGAAGGCACGATTTTAATTCGAGTTTTAGAACTAATCGAAACTAAATGCATTCATTGACACCTGAATCGACGTTCCAAAGACTTCCATCTTTCTTACTATTTTAAACGTTCAATTAGGTACACTCGTATTTGAATTAAAAATATCTATTTCAAATATCATATTTAATACAACAACAATAATAATTTGAAGTATTTAAGGCTCTTTTTTGGGTAGCTGAGCTTGTCTTTTCGGCCCCATTTTCCACTTCAGCTGGTCATACAAGAATGTTGGCAGCATTACGAGTATATTGCCGGTATTAGGAAACTGAAATGCCCAACATTTGAATTCGATTCAAACGAACAGAGAGCTTGAAAACAGTCGACAAAATCAGCGAGGCGCGTGTCAGAGCTTTGCAAAATCAGCCAAGTCAGTCAAATACAGAGCACTACTGAGTGCGGGGGCAGGGAATAGGGGGTAGGAACGAGCATTGATTTTACATTTTGAGCCCCGGCTGTCACTCAAAGTGTTTTCCGGCCATGACAAGGCAGCACCAACACACACACACACCAACACACTCACACACACCGCACACGCACACGCACCCACTGAGAACTAAAGCTGGACATGACATGCGTTTAACGCGATGATGGCAATTTAAACAGGCACTGCCTCTTTTTTGTGGACCCAGTTTTGCAGCCGGCTGCTGGCATTGACGGCATCTGTCAAGCGGGCCCAGCGTTTAATTGCTACAACTTTTAGAAGCTGCAGCACTCAGTTGTAATTAAAAAGCCAATCGACGCCCAAAGGTAGACGACAATGGTTGGATGTTGGATTCGAAATGTCCGTTGCAGCGTCTTGTCATATGTGTTTTGACTGCTGTCGCGAGCCAGAGTTGCCCGTGAATTGGCATTGGGATTTGAATCTTGCCTCGCTTCTGCTATACAAGTATCATTGCCAATTGCATTGACATATTGATGCTATCTCTGGCTCGGCCGTCG